ACTAAAACTCAGTGGGAATACATGAGCAGACATGCACTCTGACTGATGACCACATTGGTCACCAATAGGGCAAAGTGGGGAAAAAATAGCAATGAAGCTGCGACCCAGGCCCTACAATGTTCAGCAGACTCCTGTGAACCCGGGTAGAGACCTGGTTGGCCAGCAATGTGGCAAGACCTGGGGATTCTTGGGCCCAGAGTCAGTGATATAGCCATAGAGGACTAGAGTGGACAGTGAAGCATCCAGGTTATAAGAAGAGAGGGCATATGCATAAGATCACCCACACTTGACCTGGCTTAAATGACTGGATGGTCAGAGCTCAACTAGAAGAAAGAAGAGGAAAAAAAGAGTAATCAGATATAATTTGATGAACTTGACCTACACCTATCATGTAGTAGCTCAAATGAGGGAAATTTTTACAGTGAGGATCATTCCCACCCCCTCCATAAACAGAGTAGATAGGGATGGGCAACTTGGACACTGGCTACCCAAAATGGGGCGGGGGGAGGGGGGAGAGCTACAAAGGCAAGAGGTGACTGGCTTACAAGCTTTCAAGAGGGAACCTAGATCCAGAGAGGGCGCAGAGGAAGGTAGAATCTCCACTGAATAGTATCCAACCTGTCTGGGTAGGGCTGATGAAAGGAGATGGGGATAGGTCTCTTGTAGTACAAAAGTAGTCATTGCTATCAGGACTGACTGAGGGTTGGAAATGTAAAAGTAGATGTTTTGTAGCAAGGAGGGGAGTGATTAACTTTGCAGTCTAGGAGCGGAGGTCCCTGGGACCATCAAGGGAGAAGAGCGGAGGGCGGTACCCTACCCAGAGAAATAGTGACATCAGAGATGGAGGCAGAGACGATGATGTGGAGAGACGAAGCGGCTGGAAACTCTAGACCTAGAGAGGGAGAAAAGCTGTGTGCTGATGACCGGTGGGCAGGCTTGTAGGGTATACCGTTTGGTTGGTTGATGATACATGGAGAGGATTGTAACCATGACAATGAAATGATATATGACAGGACGAATGCAAAACTACTGTTCTCCCATGTAAACTATCACATAATTCACCACAAAACATTTTTTTAAAAAAATATCACGTTTGTTGTTACTGTTAAATGCCCTCAAGTCAGTTCCGACTTGAAGCAACATGCAGAGTAGCTGGCGAGTTCAAACTGTAGGCCTTGGGGTTTGCAATCCAGTACTTAACACATGGACCCACAGTACTCCCCACAAAAACTCCAATAAAGGACAGTCCAAACTTGGTTTGGGCCGATTTTTGATCCTAGTAATATAACAGAACTGAGAGAAAACAAAAATAAGTACACATACGGAGAATGTGAGGCAGAAATCATGCCCTAGAATCATGCTCATCTTTCGATTCTTCAAATACTCATTTCTGAGAATCACAAGGAAAAAAATTAAATATTCAAAACAGATTACCCCAAAAAATTGTGAGAACTACATATGATTAAGGTTCTTTGTTTTCCTTTTCTTTTCTTTTCTCTTCTTTTTCTTTTGAAATAATCTGGTATTGTGGTACAGTGATTTACTAAATACGGCTTTTTTAGCCACAGTCTTTGTAACTCCCACCAGACAATTGGATGGGACCAGGAAGACTGGGTGTATTTTCTCTTTTTCTGAGGGGTGTGGGGAAGAGACGGTGGGCAAGATGCTGACAGGTCTCTATGACTCAGTTGTGAGAGACTGTTAACATGGTTAAACGTGAATGCAAAAATTTGAAACCCTAACATGGACATTGGTCAGATTTGCCATCTGCTGGATGTATAATGAGCTGACTCTGAAACAGAATGGAGAAACTACCATCTACCATCAATAGGGAAGAGTCAGGCATGAAGCTTATCATTTGGATCCCAAGACCCCTGCATGCTGAGCAAGAGCCAGAAATGTGATGACAGAAGAGTGGGAGAAACCGTGGCTGCAGAACCAAAAACCAAAGCACGAGACAGAGAGGTGGGCTTCAGTCTACAGAGCATGAGACAGAGAGGTGGGCTTCAG